CCTTTTGGCCAGCTGCCGTTCCTCTGGCTGTACGCTCACCCTACCTTAGTGCTTGGCAAGGTACTACTCATGGAACCAATGTACTGTCCGAATGGCCGCAATTTTGGCCTAATAATGTTGGTAGTCTGCGACCTCACTCGCGAGTTGCTAATTCATAGATATCCAGGGCCAATTTCTTGGCTGGACGGGACACATCAGAGTGGACGACGAGACGTACAGGTGGCTTGGAGATGACAACTATGCATCGGCGGGAAATCTTATCAGCATAGAGGTCACGCCAACGCGTACCATTTACAACGTTCAGGCCGGCCTGATGGATGTTACGATCACCTTCCTTTCTCCCATAGAGGTGCGCCTTGCAGGATTGAACTTCGTCTGTAAAACTAATCAACGGAAGCATGCAGCCGTCGGACTGGGTCCGGCAATCTATCCCCTTCTCTTATCTAGCCGTCAATGCCAGCTCTAACGATGGACAAGCACATTCGGTGCAGCTGTATTCCGATATTAGTGCGGGTAAGTGTTAAAAATTTTGCTTGCGAGTCAATAGTGTCGATTTGGGTATCATGTAGAGTGGTTATCCGGAAACCGGACCGCTATCGTCAACTGGAGTACTACCCTCACAGACCAAATCATATATCATGAGATTGAGCTCACATCGCCGACTCCATTCGAAGAACTACAAAATCAAGCTAACGACGGTGTTGCCTATTACTCAATGACCATGGTGTGTATCTCGAAAGACCATAAAAGGGTATCTGATTTGATAATTTCTCAAGGGCCCCGACGTAACATATCAGACAGGCGAGGATACAACCCTCCGCAACCAATTTCAGCAACAAGGTAGCTTGCAGGATACGATGGATACCGACTTCCGCGCCATTGGGCCGTGAGTAACTGTCAGTCGTCAGCCCACGCACAAGTGTTGAATTGTGAATTATAATAGCACCGATTGGCCAGTCTTTGCAATGTCTGTAGACCTTGGTAGCATCCAGGCGACTCAATCATCCATTGTCTGGGCAATTGGTTACGTTCGAGACCCATCGATCAAGTATACCACTTCTTCAGGCCAAACCCAACTTCGCAGCCCGTACTATCGAACACAATATTCATCCGTTCAAGACATCGTTAGTGAATGGTATTTCTTAATGCGAATGATGTCTAAAATGCACTTAGATTTCGGAATTCTTGTCTGACTACAGCAATGCGGAGACGCGAGCAGAAGATCTCGATAATCAACTGATGCAGGCGTCATCGAGCATTTCTAATGAATACAGCCAAGTTGTATCCCTCGCTGCTCGTCAAACATTTGGCTCGATGGATATCACTGTTGCCAACGGGACCGATGGCAACTGGAACACTTCTGATGTGATGATTTTTATGAAAAATATGGGGATCGACGGGTTAGTTGAGAAGATATACTCTCTTTGTCTGTTCTCATCACTCTTTAGACGAGTAAATCCTGTAGAGATTATGTACGCCTCATTCCCCCTATTCCTTTACCTCAACGCGTCGTTCGGTAAACCACTTTTGGCACCACTTTTTGAGTATCAAGATTCCCCTCAGACCGCTTTACCATACGCGATATCTGATCTTGGTGAGTTGTTACTTGTCCTCGACTTTGAAACGAGCCATCTTATGCGTAATTCCAGGGGGATCATACCCGATTGCATCCGGAGAGAATGGAACATCGGGTGAGAGTTCTCAGGGCATCGAGCGCAAGTCTGCTTTGTATTTAATGTCATTTGGCTCTACTTATACTCTACATAGAATCTGGAAATATGCTCATCATGACTCTGGCTCATGCGAGGCTGACTGGAGATGGTTCACTGATTGGCCAACATGTACATCTTGATGGTTTCCGTTTGCCCTCGGGATATTGATTTTGGTGAATTCTATTACAGTATGGTCTCCTTAAGAATTGGACAAATTATCTCGTTCAGCAGTCGCTAACTTTCAGTGGCCAGTACGTTCATTTTCTGCCAATGTTCTATTTCAGACCCATTGACACTATATTTGTAGGAAGGATGCTGACGACCAGAACACAGCAAACATGACAAACCTGGCGATTAAGGGTATCATTGGTATTCAAGCGATGGCAGAAATAAGTAACGCGTCCGAGAAAGCTGAGGATTACCAGTTATTTTCAGTACGTCGCGATGTGT